TGAACTCTGGGCCTGGGCGCTGTCCCTCAGCTCTTCAGCTCAAGGCTAGCGCTCTACCACTTGAGCCACAGCGCCACTTCTGGCTTTTTTCTTTTTGTTTATGTGGTGCTGAGGAATAGAACCCAGGGCCTCACGCATGCAAGGCAAGGGCTCTACCACTGAGCCATCTTCCCAGCCCAACACTCAGTAGATACTATATTGTGTTTTCCATATATACAGAGATCTATCTTCTGTTTTTCCTAGTACATAATTAGGATATAGGCTTGAAACCAAACAATTTCAAAAATTATGAGCCAGGCACTGGTGGCTCATGCCTGTAATCCTAGCTACTCAGGAGGCTGAGATCTGAGGATTATGGTTCAAAGCCAGCCTGGGCAGGAAAGTCTGTGAGACTCATCTCCAATTAACCACCAGAAAACTGGAAGACATGCTGTGGCCCAAGTGGTAGAGTACTTGAGCTGGAGAGCTGAGGGACAGTGCCCAGGCCCACAGTTCAAGCCCCACAACCGAAAAATGAAAAAAAAAATGGTGTTACTCTGATATACTGATTAGACATTTACATTTTAATTAGCATTTAAAGTTAAGGCAGCTCATTTTTTACTTTTTTGCCAGTCCTGGGGCTTGAATTCAGAACCTGGGCACTATCCTGAGCCTGTTTTTGTTCAAGGCTAGGCTAGTGCTCTTCCACTTGACCACAGTGCCAATTGTGGCATTTTCTGGGTAGTTTACTAGATCTAAGAGTCTCATGGACTCTACTGCCTGGGCTAGCTTTGAACCATGACCTCAGATCTCAGCCTCCTGAGTAGCAAGAAGTATAGTCATCAGCTGGCAGTCCCCAGTGGTAATGCAACTTACTCATATTATTTCCTTAAAATAGATAAATTACAGTGGGATGGGAACAACCTGTAAGAATCACACGGGCTCAAATGAAAGCACTGCCAGTGCTGATAGTCATTTGAAAAACATAATTAACAAATGTTTACATACCTCAGGAGTCAACTTTGCTATTGATGTGAAAAGCATAGATACAATCTAAGAAAGAAAAAGGACGATGTGATTTTTTTTAAATTTTGAAGTAGGCTTTCTACCACAGGAGTCATGCTCCCACCCCTTTAAAAATTAATGAAATAGTTTAATTACCAAATTTTTTAGCACTTACATGTTCGGCAAGTCGATTATTGTATCGACACAGGCTGAAAATTAGATTACAAGTTTGTCTTATATTGATGCCATCACGAATATGTTGAAATAAGAAGGGAAATCCCTGTTAAAAACAAAAGAAGTTCATTTAAAAACTATTATTATTGTCATTATGATGATCAAATTGTTTAATATCAGAGAAGGTATTACCTTTCCTCCTGTTAATGATGCCATGTCAGTCTGTGATAATGTCAAATGCCTAAAAGAAAATATTAGTGGAAATAAATCTTTTCCATGTGCACTACTTTATAGCTATTTACATCATGACATGCATGAAAATTGTCCATTCTATAACTGTACAAAATTTTTTTGGAAAGCTCTTAGTACCTATACTTGTTTGCTAACTATCTCTTAATTTTACGAGATTCTTGTCAAATCAACTTTATTTCCATTTGATTTAATCAATAATTTTGGTATAATAAAAAATTTTGGTATAATCAAAATGCTAGGGTGGGTTTACTTTTACTTAGGAAGTTGCTTTTCTGTTATATATTTTTTAAACAGGTCAATATTTAAAACCAAATGGGCTTTCAAGAAATACTAGTTTTACCTCCCTGTTTTAAGTTATTATCTATTTAACTTATTATAGAAAAATTCAGATATAGAGTAAATGTATCCAAACCAAAGATGGTCATTTTTACCACAGCCACTCAGAATGTACTATGCTGAGGCATAATCCAGATAATTTAGTATATACCCATAGATCTTATTACATATCTTCGGCAAGATTTAAAAACAACCACAGTGCCATATTCATGCCTAAAATAAATTAACAATTTCTTAATATCTTACAAAATCCAGTGTACACATTTCATGTTTCTAAAAAATTCTATCATTTGCCTCAAACCAGACCTGAATAGTCTTTTGCTGTGTATAGTCTTTAGTTTGAGTGTCTATTAACTTTAATCTATTGGTTTCCCTTCTCATATTTATCTTGAAATTTGCTGAAGAAAGTAGGTTGCTTGTTCTGTAGTTTTCCAGATTGCTAACTGTATGCGGGTTATGCTGTTTTTACATGTTCCTCTGTTCTGTATTTCCTGTAAACTACCAGGTAGATCTAGAGAACTCATCACATCTAGCTTTGACTTTGTTTTTATGTGCCAGTACTGGGGCTTGAACTCAGGGCCTGGGTGCTATCCCTGAGCTTTTCTGCTCGAGGCTAGCCCTCTACCACTTGAGTCACAGCTCCACTTCCAGCTTTTTGATGGTTAATTGGATCTAAGAGTTTCACATATCACAGACTTTCCTGTCCCAGCTGGCTTCGAATCATGATCCTCAGATCTCAGCCTTGTGAGTAGCTAGGATAACAGGTGTATGTCACTGGTACCCAGCTAAGTTTGACTTTTTAATAAAGTACATTTTGTAGGTGATAAGTGTGGATTTTCATCAGCAGGTACACAATGAGGGATTAATGTTTTTTTGTAACATTTTTCCACCAATGATCATTCAAGCTCACAGAATACCTACAGTCTAATTCCAACAATCCTTTCTCATTTATTAACTCAAATATCTTTATGATGACAAACTTTCCTTCATCCATCACTTGATTGCCATGACCTTTAAGTTCTTCCAGGTAGAATAAATAAATCCTTCACTCATTTCGTTTATCAGTTTTCAAAATAAAGATTCGATTTTCCAATGTACTCCAAAAGTTGACAACGTATTTTTCAATTTTTCTTTTAGTTATCATTTAGAGCTTATTAATTTCATCATCTTGATGTGTTTCACATTTCATTGTAGTTATTCTTACTTGTGGTGTGCAAGTTGTCCAATCTATGACCAGCAGAAACTCCTTAAGTAAGCTGTTGAGTTCTTTTAACATGACCTAAATAGTTTTAGATAGCCTTTGTGCTTCCCAAAATAAAAAAATTCAGATTCTCATTCATTTCTTGCCCCAAACCCGGGCACAGAATAATTTCAGAACAGTAATTCTATTAGTGACAATATGATTGCTGAAACATTTTAGGACGATTTATGTCTTTCCCAAACATCCACAGTTAATGTGTTCTAAGAATACTTTAATTCCTCTCCAGTACTGTATCACCTACTTAATATAGATTAAGGTTCAGTTATTTCATTATACTTATAAATTTTAGGAATTAAAAAATATATTTATTAATAATTATGCAGAACATTTACATGATTCCAAGGTTAAACTATAAAGCAAAGTAATTTTGTCAAACTTTCACTTTTGTCCCATTTCACCTCATTTTCCCTCCCACTTCAATTGGAAACCATTATTTAAAAGATATTTTTGATTTATAGTTAATTCATGATAATTTTGGTAGTTACATCCTGTGAAGTGTTATAAACACAGAGAAAAAAAAGAAAGCAAATATTCCTCCTATGGGAAATACAGAATTATGTGCCTATGCGCCTTTTATCCACAACAATTCCATCAAGTAATAAACACATTACCGCACTTTACAGGTGTTTCTGTTTAAAGACACCTTATTTAATATATATTTTTTATGCATTAACATTGAACTTATGGCCAACAGCATTACAACTCATACCTGAATCTAACATGTTTATTTTCACCCTAACGCACATCACAGCCTTCCTTGAATTTAGAAATACTAGACAGCACTTCAATACTGTTTGGGGGGGCTATTTTAAACAGTGAAATCACCAACAGAAAATATAAATATTTGAAAAATGTGGCATACATTATGGAAAATACAATTGGTTACAACATGAAATGTGAAACAAGATGGCACACTGTTGCCTTGATGGACTTTAGCTGGGGAAATATGTATTAGGCAACTTAAATTCACCAATCTACATAAGCACATTATCTGAGAATAATTCTGAAAACTCCACAAATACTATTTTTGCAATTACAAAAAAACTTTAGTAAGTAGGTGAATTTTCAAATAGGAATGTATGAATAGCGATAAGCTGTGTACACATTCTCTCTCAGCCTTCCTTTTATCCTTTTTATTCTTTTGCAGTGGTATCGGAATTTGAAGTCAGGACCTGTGATTGCTTGCTTGCTCAGCTGATGCACTACCACTTGAGCCATACCTCCAGCACTATTTTTGTGCATTATTTTGGGAGTCTAGTGGATGTTTTACCCAGGCTGGCTTCAAACCTCAATGCTCCAGATCTCAGCCTCCTTTGTTAATATCACAGCCATGAGTCATTGACACCAAGCCTTAGACTTCCTTCTCTAACAAACTACCATGCTACAAATATTCTTCTCCACCTGATTTTTTAATGAAAAGGGGGATGGGAGGACACATGTGTATTATAAAGACTTTTCTGTGGTAGTACATATAAATTCCACATTTTGTTCATTTTTTTAAGCTACAGAGTACTCGAGTGGATACCTTGATTTTTCAATGTTGATCCCCCTTTGATGCACATTTGGCTGTTGCTACTTGAAATAATATTTCAATAAATAACTATCTATCTATCTTTCTGCACTTTGTTGCAGATGTCTAGAAGTATAGCTGTTAGGTTAAAGAATGAATGTACAATGTACATGTAATTTTGCTAGACATTTTACTGTAATTTTTATCAATGACGATTTCTAACATGACTAAGAAATAAGAGTTTAGTGGAAAGTACTGAAATTCTTGAGCCACAAGAATTGATGAATAAGATATTATTATTTGAAAAAATTTGTAACAAAAACTCATGTATAATAAAACAATTATGTAAAAAGAGTAAAACCAAACACACTTTAAGCATTTTGAATGTTGAAACATTTCACCTTTCTGAGCGAGACTGTTCAACCAAAAGAGCAACTAAAGCTATCATCTTTTCAAGGGCAGCTGGTCTGTATTTTTCTTCTGCCAGAGAGAGGATATCTTCTTCTTCTTCTTCTTCTTCTCCTTCTTCTTCTGACAGTACTTCAACTTGAGGCTAAGTGAAACAAATTTAATTTTAATGTGCTATTACTTTTAAATAAATTGTGGAACAACTGGCTCATTTTGGTATACTTGTTGAGGTGGCAAGAGTATGTATTATGAAAAACCACTATTCAAAGGTCTAACAAACAATATTCAGGACAATTTTAGAGTAAGCTGGCAGAAGTGTACAGAAAGGTGATTCTTAACATTATTTACCTTACTAAATACTTAAATAATTTTTGTTTACATCTTAGCAAGACCCTGAGATCAATAAACAAGATAAATAATAAAAGTATGCACTGAGCATAAGTGGCTCATGGTTATAATCCTACCTAGTCAGGAGGCTGAGGTCTGAGAATTGGAAGTTCAAATTCAGTCCAGGCAGACAAATCACTTATCATACCAATAGCCAACAAAAAAACAGAATTAGAGATTGGCTCAAATGGTAGAACACTGGCCATGAGTTGAAAAAGCTGAGTAAAGTGTTCAAGCATGAGTTCAAGCCATAGTACCAAAAAAACCCCAAAGTTTAAGTATGATATAACGACATTTCTTATTTAATAAAAATGCTAGTTACACAGAGAAGAAATCCTTATTTCTAGTTTCCAGCTAATGTAAACAGTAGGTTTTTCAAACTCAGTTGGCTTCTAAAATATTAAGATACTGATAAGATTTTATCATCTAGAAAAGGAAGAGACCTAGGCATAGTGGCACATGACAATTATCATAGCATTTGGGAGGCTGAAACAAGAAAATTTGGCTTTGAGGCCAGGATAGACAGAGAGATCTTAAAGACAAAATATAGAAAACAATGGTGTCTCTTGCTTATACTACTAGCTATTCAGGATGTGAATAACTGGAGGTTCTCTTACAACAGCCTTGTATAAAAGTTCTAAACCAACAGCTTAATTTGGTAGCATATGCCTGTTATCATAGCTATGGAAAAATGGGTAACAGGAAGTTAGAGGTTCGGGCTATCATGAGTAAAAAGTGAGACTAAAGCAAAAGAGCCAGAGGCAAGGCTCAAGCAGTAGAGCACCTGGTTAGCAATCTTTAAGCCCTTAGTTCTAATACTAATATTGCTCCCCACTCCCAAAAAAACTGAGGCCAAGAGAAAAAGAAAAAAAGTAAAATGGATAGCCATATACACTGGAATATATTAGTCCATATATTTTAAGAAGCATGCCAGAATAATAGTTAAGAGAATATTAGGTCAATTATCACAGATTAAACCCCACATAACTATGTGCTGTCTAAAACAAGTCAACTTCTCTAAGTACTTATCTGTAGAATACACTTATCTCTTAGGATTAAGAAAACAATTAAGTATGCTGGGCACCAATGGCTCATGCCTATAATCCTAGCTACTCAGGAGGCTGAGATCTGAGGATTATGATTCAAAGCCAGCCCAGAGAGACAAGTCCAAGAGACACTTATCTCCAATTAACCACCAGAAAACTGGAAGTGGTGCTGTGGCTCAAGTGAAGAGCTCAGGGACAGCATCCAGGCCCAGAGTTCAAGCCCCATGACTGGCAGGGGAAAAAAAAAAAGTATAAATAGATGTTGAAATCCAATGTAGTTGTTACAAACAATACAAAAGTTATATCATACTTTAATCAGCAATTTAAGATTTTTGGAAGACTCTGACAAACTTAGTAATAAAGAGCTTGAAAAAATATAAGCACCAAAAATTTGCAAAATTACTTATTAGACTGCAAAGTTGGTGGTGGCTACTTCCATTAAGTTTATTTGCTTTGGCACAGTACTTTCCCAGTGAAAAGTAATACTCAAATTGTTAATTAGCTTACTGCATCCATTAAAATAACATTAACATCATCTGCCAATCAGAGAACCTTACCATAATCTAATAAAAAGGATACAAGGGACTTTACGGGTTTTTATTATCTTATGACTTTGCATAATGCAAACTATTGGGAATATGATTTCCCTCTATATCTGATACAGAAATGTACTTACATTTTCAGGTCCTTTGGTTCCCATATAAAAATGTACCATTGTAGATATGGCTTGCAAGGAAAGCAAAAACTGGCTCTAAAAAACATTAATTTAAAATTTAAAATGATATCAAATACAAAAAAAGTACACAATCCAAGAAATAAAAAAAGTAATCCTCACCTCTTCTTCACCCATTTTGGCAAATTCGTAAAGGAAGGCAAAATACTCTGTAAGATGTTTACTATGAGGTTTTACACCATGTTCCATAATTAATAACAGAGTTCTCACAAATCGAGTGACACAGGAACGACCACCAATATCTTCTACTGAGGCATCCATATCATCAGACCTGAAAAGAAAAATACATCTTAGAGAATGTACTAGATTTGAGAGCAAATATTGCCTGAAAAACATTTTTAAACCCCTAAAATTTATTTTTCATTTAAACCTATAATCGTATGTATAGATTATATCTACAGGTATATATTTTTATGTATGTGCCAGTCCTGGGGCTTGAACTCCAGATCTGGGTACTGTCCCTGAGCTTTATTGTTTAAGGCTACTAATCTACAACTTGCACTACAGTCCCAGCTGGCTTTGAAGTGCAATCCTTAGATCTCAGCCTCCTGAGTAGCTAGGAGTATAGGTAGGAGTCACCAGTGCACGGCTATTTTTCCCATATTTTGGTGATAATTTATAGTAGCTGAAATGAATAGTAATACTCTAATTATTGTGACTAAATCAATCCAAATAAAAGACTACCCTTAAAGTTATTTGTAGATGATTTTATGGATGTAGTTAATTAAAATATAAAACAAAAATAGCTATCTCTTCTTGATATATGTAACTTCAAATCATTTTTAAACCTAACAACATGAATATTAACAGTATTTAAAAATATTTTGTCTCAGGGGCTGGGAAGGTGGCTCAATGGTAAGAGTGCCTGCCTTGCATGCATGAAGCCCTGGGTTCGATTCCTCAGCACCACATAAGCAGAAAAAGCTGGAAGTGGCGCTGTGGCTTAAGTGGTAGAGTGCTAGCCTTGAAGAGCTCAGGGACAACACTAAGGCCCAGAGGTTCAGGCCCACGAATGACCAAAAAAAAGCATACCGTCAGAGAAGTTAAAAAAGGAACTTCTTACCCATCTTCCATCCCTGGCTGCAGATAGAAATGAGCGTGCACAGGTCTCAACCTTTGAATCACATGTATACATAAGCGTTGAAACATCTATAAAGGAAAAGGTGTAATAATTAAAAAACATCACATGACTAAAAAAATTAACGTATTTGGTGGATATAATGGTACATTCTGTAATTCAAGCAAGCAAGTGGCAGAGTCAGGAGGATCACAAGTTTTTTAGCTTAGCTGGGTATCATACATAGTAAGATCCTGTCTGAAACAACACCACCACAACATTTTTGGAGAAAGATACAAAGTAGATTTGTAGTTGTGAAGTGTTGAGAAGAAGATAAAATAATGCAAATGTGAGTCATTTTGGGAATGCATGTTTTAAACCTCTGAATTCTATACTTTGAAAGATTTGGGTGAATTTTATTGAGTAAGAATATATTAGAATATATATTAGATTTTGTAAAACTTAAGAGAAACAATTTGATAAAAACTTAGTTGAAACATCAAGTAGAAATACAAGCCTATGTAATTGTTATCTCATTTTTACAAATGTTGGTTAAATATTAAAATTGATGCTCTTGTTTTCTATTTTTTCTTTTTTTTTTTTGGGTCGGTTGGAGGCTTGAACTCTGGGCCTGGGCGCTGTCCCTCTGCTCTTCAGCTCAAGGGGAGCACTCTACAACTTGAGCCACAGCGCCACTTCCGGGTTTTCTAGTGGTTTCTTGGAGATAAAAGTCTCACAGACTTTCCTGCCTGGGCTGGCTTTGAACTGTGATCCTCAGATCTCAGCCTCCTGAGTAACTAGGATTACAGGTGTGAGCCACTAGACTGAATGTAGAAATTCTTATGACCGTATCCTAAAGCTTGTGCTGGATATCCAGCAGTCAGTATCAGTTCTGGTTTTCTTACAGTGGTTTTTATGGTTCTAAAGTCTGTGAGACTCTTATAATTAACCACCAAAACGCTGAAAGTAGCTAAAGTGGTAAAGCATTAGCCTTAAGCAAAAAAGCTCAGAGACAAGGCCCAGGCCTTGAGTTCAAGCCTTGGGACAGATGAGCACACACCCTTGCCCACATAGAGACCCATGTATGCGTTCTATTTCAGTAACTAAAATATAACATAAGTCAGATTAAGTTTTTGATTTTGCCATTAAATGACTATAAAGGCATGCTTAAAATTGCTTTGTGTAAATTTTTTTCGTAATTAAAGGAAAGCAAACTGATCCATGTGATAGATGTTATCAAAGAAATAAATTACACCCTCCTCATTTAACTTTCTAGGCCACTTAACAGTACTCTACTAGTCAAAATAGCTAGGACATGAAAAAAAAATTGGGATTTATAGGTTATCTTGTTATAGCACAAAACGTCCATAATTTTAATTGCTTGTTTAACAGTGACAGCTGATGTTAAAAGTGGCTGAGAAAAAATAACAGCAAAATGACTTTTAAGGTAGGAAGCAGATCTTTTCAAATTATTTACTTAAATTAAAAACTGCTTATTTTTCTTTTTTGGGGGAGGGTCCGGTCGTGGGCCTGAACTCTGGGCCTGGGCGCTGTCCCTCAGCTCTTCAGCTCAAGGCTAGTGCTCTACCACTTGAGCCACAGCGCCACTTCCAGCTTTTTTTGCTTATTTGGTGCTGAGGAATCAAACCCAGGGCCTCATGCATGCAAGGCAAGCACTCTACCACTGAGCCACCTTCCCAGCCCCCCAAAACTGCTTATTTTTCTAAGGTTTTTCAATTACATGTTTTTCTTACCTGTCTCACAATTTGATTAGGACACTTAATTAGGATTTGCATTGGCCACCAGTCATCATCAGCCATGCGATCTAAAAACCACTGTAAGAAAGAGCATTGATTTTAATATTTAACCAAAATTTGTTAAAATGAGATAACAATTACATAGGCTTGTATTTCTATTTGATGTTTCAACTAGTTTTTATTAAACTGCTTCTCTAATTTTTACAGAATCTAAAATCTAAGTAGGCATTGCCTCATTATACAACTTCCCAGTTGACATTTATGTTATAAGACAAAACCTACAGAACGACAACCTGAGGAAAATGAAGAATCACTTTTTACTTTGTCACACTGAGAAATCTTTTATTCCTGTGAGTTATATGATGAGTATGACTCCACTTCCTTCTGCTTAAAAATAAAAAAATTGTAACTCTGGGAGAGTGAGAGAAAAGGTGACACTGTCCAAAAAGAAATATTCCCTTTACCTAACATGTAACTGAAACGCCTCTGTACATCACCTTTATAATAGCAATAAATAAACTTTAAAAATTATAACCTAATTATGGCTCTGAATCTTTCATATAGCCAAGGGTGAATTGAGAGACCTAGCAGTATAGGTTAAATAACAAGTTGAAGATATTATCAGACAAAGCCAGTCGTGGCAATTTCTTGAAAAATAAATGACAAAAAAGCATGGAAGAAAAAAAAAGGCAGACATGAAAGATTTAAGAAACAAATACAAACTGTGTATCATTTCTGAACACAATTCATTTCTAGTTTTACTAGAAGTAAATGAAATTATGGTTAGATATTTTTCTGAAGTTCTCATTGGCTAAAAGCATATATATTTATGTTATGGATATAAAACATGACTTCTGGGTTTGCTTTAAAACAAAAGGCAGAAAGAAATAGACAAAACAAGAATGAAAAAATACTGGCTTTAGATATTATACCTTTATGTATGAAATGTCTAAGGATTATTTTCTTTTATTCCACTGTCATAAGGTAAAATAAAACTACCTTCTAAATAAGACATCAACTAATTTGCACACTGTGCTACTACCACCTCTCACATTTGGAAAATCCTAAGACTTCCAAGCTCAGGACCTCTCCAGTTGTTAAAAGTACTATTAAAATTAGTACATTAATACTATAATTGTCACCACCTGGATTATCTTTAGGAGTACATGTCTTAAAATGACAAATAAAATTTGACATATATTGATATATTGGAATATATGGAGTTTGTATGGTGGGAGAGGGATAGTATTTTCTACTAACATTCAAATGTAGTAAATTAACATGAAATTAGGGATGATGAGGAATTGTTGGCAAAAGTATACAAAGTTTCAGTTGTAACATGTATACAATCTTGAAGATCTCATATATAGCATTTAAAAAAATGGTTTTGTTTTTGCTTTGGTGCCAGTCTGGGGGCTTGAACTCGGGGCCTGGGTGGTGTCTCTGAGCTTTTCTGTTCAAAGCTACTGCTCTACCATCTGAGCCACAGCTCCACTTCTGGCTTTTTGCTTGTTAAGTGAAGATAAGAGCTACACAGACTGTCCTGCCTAGAATGGCTTTGAACTGTGATTCTCACATCTCAACGAACTGAGTAGCTAGGATTACAAGTGTAGGCCATCAATATCCAGGTACATATAATACTCTTAAGTACAGTTATTAAACGAGATCTTTAAATCTCTTCACTTAGAGCTGGAAATGTGGCTTAGTTGTAGAGTGCTTGCCTCGCATGCATGAAGCCCTGGGTTCAATTCCTCAGTACCACATAAACAGAAAAAGCCAGAAGTGGTGCTGTGGCTCACATGGTAGAGTGTTAGCTTTGACCAAAAGAAGCTCATGAACAGTGTCCAGGCCCAGAGTTCAAGCCGCAGGACTGGCAAAAAACAACAACAAACAAAACACTCTTCACTTACATATACACACAACACAAGTAATATCGAAGTGGTAATAGATTTAACTGTGGTAAATATTTCAAAAATATGTATGTATACATACAAGTTTCGCATTGTACATCTTCAATACATACAATTTTCCTTTTTATTTGTGATACTGAAGGTTGAGTTCAGGGTCTTATACTTGCTAGGTAGGTGCTCTACTGCTTAAGCCACAGCTCAGCTGTCTCTGCTTTATTTTTTCAGATAGGACCTTGGCTTCTCCTGTCTAGGCCAGCCTGGACTGTGATCCTCCTACTGTACACCTACTACATGGTTGGGAAAATAGGTGTATGCCATGATGCCCAGATTTTGTTGTTGTTGTTGCATAGAGGTCTTACCCAGGCTAGTCTAGAACCTCAATCTGCTGTGTGTAGAATTACAAGTCTAAGTCACTATGCCCATCAGTATTGACTTTTGTACTCAAGACATTTCTCTTTATTTTTATTTATTTATTTTTTAATTGTGAAAATACTGTACAGAGGAGTTACAATTACATGGGCAAGAAGACCTTTCTCTTTATGAGGCAGATGCCCTATTAGTTCAGCATATTCCAAGCATTATAATTTTCTATCAACTATACCTTAATAAGGTTGGAGGGGGAAAAAAAATCAAAACAAAATTTAAAAAGTAGTTAAGAATTATTTTGGACTGGTAGAGTTAAGCATTTGTAATCCTCTGAGTAAAGTTAGTTAAGTGTAAGTAAGCCCTTCAGTAAAATCTTCAGCATGACAAAAATAAATGGGGAGAAGGTAGGAGAAGAGAAGGGGAGAAACTTCCAGAATTTGAAAGTAATTAATATGTATAATAGGTTTGATATATAAATATTAACTTCTTCAACAGACATAGGTGGCTCACGCCTATAATCCTAGTTACTCAAGAGGCTGATATCTGAGGATCACAGTTCAAAGCAGGAAAGTTCCTGTGAGACTCTTTTTTTTTTTTGGGGGGGGGGAGGAGGTCGGTCGTGGGGCTTGAACTCTGGACTTCGGCGATGTCCCGGCGCTCTTCAGCTAAAGGTGAGCGAGCGCTCTACTGCTTGAACCACAGCATCACTTCCAACTGTGAGACTCTTACCTCCAATGAACAACCAGAAAACTGGTAGTGCTGAGGCTCAAAGTGGTAGAATGCTAGCCTTGAGCAAAAGAACTCAGAGACAGTGACCAGGCCTTGAGGTCAAGCCCCTTGACCAATAAAAATAAACAAACAAAAACACCCAAAAAACTAAAAACAATTTGAGCCAGATGCCTATAATCCTAGCTATTCTGGAGACTGAAATCTGCGAACTGTAGTTCAAAGCTAGCCCAGACAGATAAGTCCTTGAGACTTTTATCTTCAGTTAACAGTGAAAAACTGAAAATTTAACTGTGGCTCAAGCTGGTTTTGCTTTGAGCAAAACCAGCTCAGGGACAGCACTTTGGCCCTGAGTTCAAGGCCCAGGACCAGCACCAAAAAACAATTATCTTAAAAAATTGCTATAGTACCTTTTTTTGGTTGTTTTTTTTTGTTTTGTTTTTGGGTCCGGTCATGGGGCCTGAACTCTGGGCTTGAGCACTGTCCCTCAGCTCTTCAGCTCAAGGCTAGCGCTCTACCACTTGAGCCATAGCTCCACTTCTGGCTTTTTTTTTTCTGCTTATGTGGTGCTGAGGGCCTCAAGCATGTGAGGCAAGTGCTCTACCACTGAGCCATCTTCCCAGCCCCAATAATTGCTATAGTACCTTAATGAAGAAAAAACAGTAATACAATATAAAACAGAATCTCAAGCTATCAACCATTTTTTTCCCCTTTGGTTGGTCGTGGGGCTTGAACTCGGGGTGGACGCTGTCCCTCAGCAACTCAGCTCAGATCTAGCACTCTACCACTTGAGTCACAGCACCACTTCCGGCTTTTTCTGTTTATGTGGTGCTGAGATAGAACCCAGGGCCTCATGCATGCAAGGCAAGTGCTCTACCACTGAGCCACCTTCCCAGTCCAATTAAACCATTTTTTTGAATTAGTTACCTTACCTCACAAGCTGCTTGGCTATTATTAAACTGTTTGGTCAATAATTCAATCCACTGAAGCATTGTAGGCTAAAAAAGGAAAAGCAGTCAGTCAAGATGCAGGGATTTTTGAGCCAATGATAATAAAACCCAAAAGAAATAACATAGATAATACATAACGCAAAAACTCACAGAAGAAAACACATACCTTCTCTTTTGAATGAATAAATGTCTCTAGGACAAAGGAAGTGCTTAACTGTAAGAAAAGATACAACAAGTAAGTAAGATTCAATTTTTTAAAGTTAAAAATCTGACAAAGTTATGTAAGTTTATATATTACCTTTGCTGTCATTAGGGATACAGCTTTAGGATCAGGTAATGTACTTGGAATACAACTACACAACTGCCACATAAACCTATAATTTAAAAAGAGTAACTTAAAATTCATAAAGAATTTTAAAATATTAGTAAAATATACTAAATTTAACTAACTTACCCAAAATATGTGTGTTCAAAAATGTTTTTGTCTTGAAGAAACTGCATATTATCATGCCAAATCCACTGAAGAAAAGAAATGTTAAGATTAGCTATCAGAAAGCAATTTCGTATTTTACCACTACCTCATTTTTGTTTTTGTTGGTCACAGAGCTTGAAACCAGGTGTTGTCTCTGAGCTTTTCTCTCAAGGCTTTGAGCCACAGCATTACTTCTGGTTTTCTGGTAGTTTACTGGACATAGGAATCTCACAGACTTTCCCCCCACTGGTTGGTTTTGAACCATGATGGTTTTGAACCATGATCCTCAGATCTCAGCCTCCTGAGTAGCTAGGATTATAGGTATGTGCCACCAGTGCTTGGCTTTCCCAATACTTTTATTGGATAAAGAGATACACTATAAAAAGCTGAACAAGAAGCAACCAAAAAACATATTCACTTAAAATTCATGCTTATCTGTCCAAGTATAAGGAATATAAAAGCAGTTACTAAACCTTTTGCATTTTTTATTATTTCATATATTGCTATTATCTGGCAACTTCCAAGTGATTTCGAGTTTTTAATGTATTTGTAAAGATTCTAAAAAGAAGAAATATAGCAAATATATAAGCAGATGGGAAGGTGGTTCAATGGTAGAGTGCTTGCCTTGCATGCATGAGGCCCTGGTTTCGATTCCTCAGCACCACATAAGCAGAAAAAGCCGGAAATAGCACTGGGCTCAAATTGGTAGAGCGCAAGCCTTGAGCTGAAGGGACAGCTGAGGGACAGCACCCAGGCCCAGTTCAGGCCCCATGTCTGGCAAAAAAAAAAATGTACACGTACACACACACACACACACACACACACACGCACACACACACACACACACACGAAACTAGTGGCTCATGCCTATAATCTTAGCTACTCAGGAGGCTGAAATCTGATGAATGCTGTTCAAAGAAATCTTGAACATGGAAATCCATGAGACTCTTATTGTCAATTAACAACCAGAAAACTGGAAGTGGTGCTGTGACTCAAAGTGGTAGAGCACTAGACTTGAGCAAAAAGAGCTCAGAGTTAGTTAGTGCCCATGCCCTGAGTTCAAGTCCTAAAACCAACTTAAAAAAGAAAAAAAGAAAAAAATTTTGATTTGCTAATAACAAGTTCTAAGATAAAGATTTATATTAACCTTGGCAAAAATGTATTTTTAAAAAATTAACTGGCTAAGTGCCGGTAGCTCACGCCTGTAATCCAAGCTACTCAGGAGGCTGAGATCTGAAGATGGAGGTTCAAAGCCATTCCAGGGAAGGTAAGTGCACTAGACTCTCATCTCCAATTAACCACCAGAAAACTGGAAGTGGCACTGTGGCTCAAATGGTAGATCACCACCTTGAGCTGAAGAGCTGAGGGAGAGCACTCAGGCCCAGAGTTCAAGTTCCATCATCAACAAAATAAACAAACAAACAAATAAATGCACTCGAAAAATGAGTTAAATCCCTATCCCCATGAAATTACTTTTACCCTAGAACAAAGTTTTGTTCTGATTACTAATATAACTATTTTTCACAGCACTGCTCTTTAGTGTATATGTTTGGAATTAGAGATAATGGATTCATTTCTTCAATTTATGTTTCCAATACTACAATTAATTCTCCAGTAAAAGTTTTCAATTACCTCTACCTGCTTATCCCAGAGCACTAGAGTAGAACTGAGTTTTATAATTGTGTATGTAGGGTAATATTTGGGAGATTACAAGCTTAGTCACAGATTGGTCTATTTCAGAATTCTTGAGTATTTAAAAATTCTGGCTTCCATGCCAGGTGCGGGTGGCTCATGCCTGTTTTCCTAGATACTCAGGAGGCTGAGATCTGAGGATCATGGTTCAAAGCCAGACCAGGCAGAGAAGTCCATGAGATTCATCTCCAATAAACCACCAGAAAATCAGAAGTGGCACTATGGCTCAAGCGATACATTAGCCTTGAATGGAGGGACAGTGCCCAGGTCTGGAGTTCAAGCCCCACGACTGATTTAAAAAAAAAAAAAAAATCAGCCGGGCGCTGGTGGCTCACGCCTGTAATCCTAGCTACTCAGGAGGCTGAGATCTGAGGATCGCGGTTCAAAGCCAGCCCGGGCAGGAGAGATCGTGAGACTCCTATCTCCAATAAACCACCAGAAAACCGGACGTGGCGCTGTAGCTCAAGTGGTAGAGCGCTGGCCTTGAGCTGAAGAGCTGAGGGACAGCGCCCAAGCCGAGTTCAAGCCCCACGACCGACAAAAAAAAAAAAAAAAAAAAATCTAGCTTCCAGACTGATAGCATTCTGCCCATTTCATTCCATATCAAAGGAGCCCTAGTATAAATTTCTTCCTGCCAGTTATAAGCTGAGTTCTGGATTTGGTATCCAAATTTTTATTTCCTTTACTCCATGAAAGTCTCCCTCTTGACTACTATTATCTGTTCCAGCACCTAAAGACTGGTAAGTCTCTTGGTCTTTACCATAGTCAGTGCTTTTAGTTCTACCATAGAAACATTTTTTAAGTATGGTCCTTATTACATTTAAAGAGCACAATTATATTTTTGTCAGTTGTGGGGCTCGAAAGCACCTGGGCACTATCTGAGTTTTTTTTGCTCAAGGTTACCACTTTACCACAGGGCCACTAACACAATGTATTTTGACATCTTCTCTAGCTGCGTTTATTTATTTATTTGCAGTGGTGAGGACCAAATCGGGGCCTTAAACTTGCTAGACAATAACTCTTCCACTAAGTTAAATCCTCAACTCTCTTAGCTATATTTTCTATAACTGTTTAACTTGGGTCACTTTTCCTTCAACTTGCTAAGTATCACTGCCAGACACTAAAACATCCTATCCTTCTTTTTTTTTTGGGGGGGGGGTCAGTTGTGGGGCCTGAATTCTTGGCCTAGTTGCTTTGCTGTCCCTGAGCTCTTCAGCTGAATGAAAACACTCTCCCACTTTGAGCCACAGGGCTACTGCTAGTTTTCTGGTGGTTAATTGGGAGATAAGAATCTCACAGACTTTCCTGCCCTGGCTAGCTTTGTCGTGGGGCCTGAACTCTGGGCCTGCGCGCTGTCCCTCAGCTCTTCAGCTCAAGGCTAGTGCTCTACCACTTGAGCCACAGCACCACTTCTGGCTTTTTTCTTTTTGCTTATGTGGTGCTGAGGAATCGAACCCAGGGCCTTGAGCATGCAAGGCAAGCGCTCTACCACTGAGCCACCTTCCCAGCCCCAATCCTATCCTTCTTAGGACAGGAGAAATTAAAAAAAATTCTTTTTAGAAAACTGCTAGCTTGCCCTGACTGCCTTATACTCTGGAACTTGAGAAAAAAATTTTTTTTGGTCAGATGTGGGACTTAAACTCAGAGCTCATGGGCACTGTTCTTGGAGATGTTTTCTGCTCTACCAGTTTTATTCTGAATTCCACTTCCAGTTTTAGGGTGGTTATTCCAAGATCAGAGTCTCATGGACTCCTTGCTCAGACTGCCCTGAACAGAGATCCTCAGATCTCAGCCTCCTGAATAGCTAGGATTACAAGTCACCAGAGCCCAACCTCAAGCAAATCTTGAACAAGTTACAATTCTCTTTTCAGCCTCATCTTTATGCCGACATGTCCTAAATACTTGGTAGCTATCTATTTTTTTAATGATTTAAATTGCAACTTTATTTCAAATGTAGTTACAAATTCTATACAATGAAGAAAAAGAGAATATTGTAAGTCCATCATCCAATCCAAAAAACAATACTACAAAGCACACAAAATTACTTGTGAATTTAATCTAATTTTATCAATCCATCCGGCTTCCTTAATTTTTTCACTGTTATTTTCCATATACATTACTCTATCCATTTCTCATTCACATGTCTTATGTTGTTATTTATGAATTGTAAATACTCTCTAGATTTAGCTGGGCCTATAAATCTTAATGTTGGATAACCAGTTCTTATGTTGTAGTATTCCTTACATAAATACTTAATGTGTTTTAAACTGCTACTAAAGTCAAATTAACATATACCTCTAGTAACTCTGATGAAACATCAAATTTATATTCTCTACCATTTTCTTCTTCTGGTTCCATGCGTTTGTAAAACAGCATATATGCACTATGTGTCTTTAAAGACAAGAAAAAAAAGTATTATTTTCATTTTGATAAAATATATTCTAAAATTAGACCACATACAAGAAAGAACACAATATAAATTACATAATTAAACAATTACCTTTTCAAAAGAGAAATCCATGAATTTATCTGTGACAGAATCGTAAGTCTTCGTCTGTTTAAATATAGAAAATTTCTTCTTTAACGAAATGGATTTATTCAGCTGTATTTATACATAAAATTACTTCATCAATATTATTTGTATTTCATCAATAGTATTTCAAAGTAATGTTGTGGGCTGGGAAGGTGGCTCAGTGGTAAGAGTGCTTGCCTTACATGCATGAGACCCTGAGTTCGATTCCTCAGCACCACATAAGCAGAAAAAGCTGGAAGTAGCGCTGTGGCTCAAGTGGTAGAGTGCTAGCCTTGAGCTGAAGAGCTGAGGGATAGCACTCAGGCCCAGAGTCCAAGCCCCACGACTGACTAAAAAAATAAATTAATAAATAAAATAAAAATAAAAAATCAAAGATATGTTGTAAAATCCAAATAACATTGTACTCATAAAAATCCCATGTACTGGGCTGGGAAGGTGGTTCAGTGGTAGAGTGCTTGCCTTGCATGCCTGAGGCCCTGGGTTCGATTCCTCAGCACCACATAAGCAAAAAGAAAAAATCTGGAAGTGGCGCTGTGGCTCAAGCCGTAGAGCTCTAGCCTTGAGCTGAAGAGCTGAGGGACAGCACCCAGGCCCAGAGTTCAGGCCCCATGACCAGACCAAAAAAAAAAAAAATATATCCCATGTACTGCTGGGTACCTGTGGCTCACACCTGTAATCCTAGATACTCGGGAGTCTGAGGATTGATGTTCAAAGCCCGCCTGGGCAGGATGTCTGTGAGACTTATCTCCAATTAAACAAGAAGTCAGATGTGGAACTATGACTCAAGTAGAGTGCTAGCTCTGATTAAAAAAAAAAAAAAGCCAAAGGACAGTGCCAAAGCCTTAAGTTTCAATTAAAAAAAAATCAGTGAGAATTCTATCCCAATAAAGCTGTTTTGTAAAATTAAACAAAGAAATGCAGGAAGAATTATTTGAAAGTTAATGATGATTAAGAGAAGTACAAGTTTTTTTTTGAAAACAAAGGCTCAAAAACATGTAAAAAGATAAGACCTGCAATGTGAAAAACTGCCTTTCAAAAGAAAGGCCTTAGCTGGGCACCAATGGCTCATGCCTTAAATCTTAGCTACTCAGGAGGCTCAGATCTGAGGATCATGGTTCAAAGCCAACCTGGACAGAAAAGTCTGTGAGACTCTTATCTCAAACTATTCAGAAAAAGCTGGGAGTGGAGCTGTGGCTCACTGGTAGAGCGCTCACCTTGAGTTGATAAACTCAGGAACCAGTGCCCAGACCCAGAGTTCAAGTCCCACAACCGACTGACTGACCAACCAACCGACCAACCGACCGACCGACCGACCGACCGACAGACACCCACACACCCACACCGTCTTTCAATAAAATCTAGAAGCTGGTTGCTGGTGGCTCACATCTGCAATCTTATCTGTTCAGGAGGCTGAGATCTGAGGATCACGGTTCAAAGCCATCCCAGGCAGCAAAATCTGTGAGACTCTTATCTCCAATAAACTACTAGAAAACTGAAAATGGCACTGTGGCTCAAGTGGTAGAGTGCTAGCCTTGAGCTGAAGAGCTGAGGGACAGTGCCCAAGCCCAGAGTTCAAGTCCCACAACTGACAAAAAAACAAAAACACAACAACAAAAAAAAGAAAAACAAAAACAAAAAAACCATACACACAAAAAACTAGACTAATTCTAGAGAAATTTTAAAATAATAAGCATGGTTCTCAAATTTAATTTTATTATCAAGGATTCTTTGAGAAATGGAGATTATTAACTGATCAAAACCAACAGGATTTCATGCTAGTTTATGTGTGTTTTCTTTAATTTGTAGTGCTAAAGTTAATTCATCCCAAGGCTCTGTACAGTTTGGTAATTAAGCGTACCTCATTCCAATTGTTTTTAAAAAGTTTTAAAAAAAAAATACTGTATCAGGATAAATGAAAGGAAAATGTCTTTTTCTATGTCCTATTGCAAATTATCTAACACAGATGTTCTTTTGCTACCCAATAAATAATAATCAGGTTGTTGCTACTTTACAAAAGGCACTAAAGGAATAAAATATTTCTTAGTGTCTAGCGTATACTGTGAACACACTAAACTTTCAGAGTCCAGAGTGCTAACCATTACACACTAAACTTTCAAAACTTTACAACTAAATTTTAAATTTAATAATAGTGATTCTAAGAATATTACTCTATTGTTAGATTTTATGATATCCAGAAATAATGATACTTACTGTCATCTCACCACCAAAACATTCAGAAGCAAGTTGTGCAGAATCAAAAGGTTTTACCTCAGCATCATTAAAAAGATACCTAAAATAGAGCACATAATACCAATCACAAATATACTGAATATTTCATTATTGTGTTTATTATTTTCAAAATTCTTAGATTGTATACCACAAAGTTACAAATACTGAACCATTTATTAATTTCTAATAAGCTGTTTTCTACAGCTGTAATTTACAAGGAATCAAAAATATAATTCAGTAACCATCGTAACCACTTTAAATCTCACAGGTCCCTGGGATGGAGATGCATGTCTCTGTGCCTAGTATATTCAAGGCCTTAAGTTCCACCCTCAGAATGCTAAAGGAAAAATAAATCTGACAGATCCATGTCCATCTACAATGTAACAGCAAAAATCAAGAATAAAAACTTTGCTTAGGTATATAACTTGTAAAAGTACTAGGGAAAAATTAACATACATAAGGATTTTCAAAGATTCAAGTTATACTTATAAATTATATACAAAAAGATATGAAAAGTAAAAGATACTATAAAGATAGATAACCGCTGAAGTCAAAATTAACAGCTGAATGAAATTATTCTGCTAACTGGAATTCAATGTATAATTATATTTTATTCAAAGCAATATTCTCAATACTTAGAAAAGTGTCTAAGCACACTTAGTACCTAGACTGAGATGCTTTCTAAGGTATCTGAAAATCACTGTGGCTATTAGAGACTGATTTAGCAACTGATAACCTGATAAATAATGATAAAAACAAAATGTGTGGGCTGAAGTTGGCTCAGTGGTAGAACTCTTGTCTTGCATGCCTGAGGCCCTGGGTTCGATTCCTCAACACCACATAAGCAAAAAGAAAAAACCCAGAAGTGGTGCTATGACTCAAGTGGTAGAGCACTAGCCTTGAGCTGAAGAGCTGAGGGACAGCGCCCAGGCCCAGAGTACAGTCCCCACGACTGGACCCCCAAAAAAAAACAAAAAACAAAAAAACCCCAAAATGTGTGCAGAAGGAAAAAGGCAAAATGAACAGAAGACTGCATGCAAGTAAATCTAAATAGCATATAAAAGACTTCATGACTACTCTACTAAAGGTAATTAAGGAAACAGTTTCTGAGTGAATGATGGTTTAGCCTTCATGTTTTAAGAACAATGGATTTATATTTTGCAAAGTCACTCTGATTTTAATATTCTCATTTCCTAATACTATAATTTTATCAAGAGAAAAATATCATAAATTTACATCTAGAAGAAAAAAAGATATTTATAAATCCACTAAAAATACCTAAAACTCACCACTTGTTGTTTTTATATGCATGTGGATTGACTATATCTCTAATGAAGCTGTAATAGTGTCCACCGTCTGCCGTTCCTGTGTGAACCGTCACTCCTATCAAGTCATACTCATAGCTCTCTGTGTCTTTTGACTGATCACTGACTTCCTTAAAACCTGCAATGATCACATAAAATAATGGCAGTAATTCTGAAAATCATACAACAGTGACATCTTATAATCACTTTTGATATAAATGAAATAGGCACATATATATGAAATAAATATAAATATTGGCTAGGCCTCAGTCAACTTTTTCAAAGAACATAATAAACAAGTAACTGGGAAACCATCATGTATTATCATTTTATCACAGATAACTCTCATATATAAATATAAAATATCTTTGTTAAATCCAGCTACCCTTTTGAAATTATTTCAAATGCTTCATTCAACTGTATCTTCATTATGAGTAAATACAAGAAATACCTAAAAAAGGCAAATTATTGTCTTTCAGTATCATGTTAAGGAAAATGGAACATTACACTGACAGCATGCTTCCAAATTAGGAGATTTCTATAGATAGAAATAAGACACAATTCACATCCACAAAGATTTAAAATCAAAAGATAACAAATACACAGAAGAAATTAGTATAAGAAGTTTGAAGGATATAAATGATTATGATCTCTATTTTCAAACTACAGAATAGAAAAAGTAGAATAAGGAGTAAGGCATAATAGATGTGTCTAAATGCACAATCAGAATTCCAAAGTAAAGTTATACTTAGGTAAAGAGAAGATAAGCTGGGTGCTGGTGGCTCATGTCTGTAAGGATAGCTTCTCAGGAGGCTGAGATCTGAGGATTGTGGTTCAAAGCCAGTCCAGGGGGAAAAAAAAAATCTATGAGACTCTTATCTCCAATTAACCACCAAAAAAAAATGGAAGCAGAACTGTGACTCAAGTGGTAGAGTGCTAGTTTTGCACACAAAAGCTCAGGGACAGTGCCCCCCCCCAAAAAAAAGAGAGATAAATGAAGATTCTACTTTATTTTAGGCCTATTTTTACTTGAACAGTTCCTTAACACACTTGTAACTTGTGTTCAATTCAAGAATCACTCACCTAGATTTAAGCTGCACAAGGGTAGCAACATGTTTATTTTATTCATCATTATGTCTAGAAAAATACTTAGAGCATGGGTCTTAGAAGATACTAAATATTTACTAGCTAAATCAATGTGCTACATTATTTTTACTAATATTTTCCATTTTAAAATTTTATTAACTATATAGAGAATGACATATTTATGATTTCCCTATTAGTGGAGGTTTATAATAAATGCAGACAAGAGAAGGAAAAATTACCTTCTTTCCTGTCACTCTTTCCCATAAGAAAATCTTCTGTATATGGTGTCATATCCAACCGTAAGGGGAAGGAAAAGTGTGTATTCACTTTCTCTTTCATCATCGTGACCATATTAAATGTATACCTCATAGTATTGAAACTCAGAATTCGAGGTAATTTCTTAAAACATGCCCTGAGAGGTAAACAACAACAAAGAAACTTTTAAAATACTTGTTTGTTCGTAAAACGTTTCAACAGCAAAGGTTCCCTTCAAGTTGATTCAGGTTCCATGCAAAGCCCACCAAGATGAGACTGAAATACAATGCAAACACATGTGGAGATGTAACAATGACCACTCCTATGTATAACTAATATAATACTGCCTCTATACCACCCCAGAAAAAAACCACACTAAGGACACAGAGGACATCAGTCATTGCAGTGAGTTTGATGGTATGCCCAGTAATCTCAGCACATGGAAGTGTAAGACTATGTCAGCCTAGGCTACATAATGAGATCCCATGTAAAAAATAAAAATTATATATATCTTCTACAGAACTGCAAAATTTCAGAAAGGTAACAATCTATTTACTCTTAATTCTCATCAGAAAAATTTGTCATCTTTCAATAATACATTAAAAAGCTGTATTTCCATTTGACTATATCCATGCATAGTTTTTTTCTCATATAAACCAACTTGATTTACTGACCAAAAAAATTCCTTTCAAATGCATACTAACCTAAAATAATGAAGAGTCTTAAGCAATTTTAATAATTGTATACTGGTTTTTCATTCTCTGCCTTCAAACATGCTCAGTTCTCTTAAGAAAAATTCTTTAGAGCTGGGCGCTGGTGGCTCACGCCTGTAATCCTAGCTACTCAGGAGGCTGAGATCTGAGGATGGCGGTTCAAAGCCAGCCCGGACAGGAGAGACCGTGAGACTCCTATCTCCAATCAACCACCAGAAAACCAGAAGTGGCACTGTAGCTCAAGTGGTAGAGCGCTGGCCTTGAGCTGAAGAGCTGAGGGACAGCGCCCAGGCCCAGAGTTCAAGTCCCACAACCGACAAAAAAAAAAAAAAAAAAAGAAAATTCTTTAATCATAAAGTTCCTTTTTGCTTCCAACTTACTGTTTTTTAATGCTCAACTTCTAAAATGGTCACTTACTGATTGCCATGTTCCCTTAAAGACCGGCTTCTATTCTTTTAAGCTGAAAAAAACATACCACTAAAATATCTTCCTCAAAGAAGACATTTTTTTGGTGCTGTACTAGAGCTTGAAGTAAGGGTCTAGTGTTGTGCTTTAGCTTTTTCATCCAAGGCTCGTGCTTTGCCACTTGATCTTTAACCCACAACCCCACTTGAAGATTCTTGGTAGTTACTTGGAAATAAGTCTCATGAGGTGGGTGCTGGTGGCTCACATCTGTAATCCTAGCTGGTCAGTAGGTTGAAATCTGAGGATCGTCGTTTCAAGTCAGTCCAGGCGGAAAAGTTCATGTGAGACTCTTACCTCTAATTAACCACTCAAAAACCAGAATGACATTATGGTTCTAGTGGTACAGTGCTAGCCTTGAGCACGAAAAGGCTCAGGGAAAGCACACAAGGCCCTGAGTTCAAGCCCCACAACTGACCCCCCGCCCCAGCCCCAAAAAAAGCCTCATGGATTTTCTTGCCAGAGCTGGCTTCCATTAGGATTCTCAAATCTCAGCCTCCTGAGTAGTTAGGATTGCAAAGCAGGTGTGAGTCACCAGGGCCCAGCTTCAAAATTGATTATTCAGTCTTTCTTCCTTGTGGCGTTCCCATCTCTGGGAAGGATGTCACGTTGAGTATCTTCTTGTAGAGATTCTCTTTCCAATTTGTAGATTACCATATCCTCATTGCCTTTATTTCCTTCCTTATGTCAGGTTTTCATCTGAACTTTTAGGTTAGTATCAATTTCAGTTCTTTTGCAAGTTATAATCCTTCTCAGAAATATATTTTCATGACTCCAATGAATTGATAGCTGCATGTCAACCATTTGATGCAACACACATATATTACTAGTATTATTTTCCATTATTAGTTTATGTAAATACTCTACTTCAGAGATTTCTAACCCTGGATTTCTTTTAAGTTCAAAGTTATTTCTGTTTCTTTGCCTTTGCTCCTAATAAATAATTGCATAAGCTAGGTACTGGTGGCTCACAGCTGTAATCTTAACTACAGGAGGCTGAGATCTGAGGACTGTGGTTCAAAGCCAACCTGGAAGAAAAATTTGTGAGACTCTTATCTCCAATAAACTATTTAAAAAAAAAAAGCCGGAACTGGCACCATGGCAAGTGGTAGAGTGCTAGCTAGCCTGGAGCAAAAGCAGCTTAGGGATAGCACCAAGGTCCTGAGTTCAATCCCCAAGATCAGCTGAAAATAATAATTGCATAAGACTCTGTAGAACAAAAATCAAGAATCATAACCGGATATATTGATACACCTGTGACACTAATACCTGGAAAGGTTGAAGCAGGAAGATCGCATGTTTGAGGCAAACCTGAGCATCACAGCAAGACCCATCTTTAACAAAGAAACTTAAAAACAGGGCTGGGAAGGTGGCTCAGTGGTAGAGTGCTTGCTTGCATGCTCAAGACCCTGGGTTTGATTCCTCAGCACCACATAAGCAAAAAGAAAAAAAAGCTGGAAGTGGCGCTGTGGCTCAAGTGGTAGAGCGCTAGCCTTGAGCTGAAGAGCTGAGGGACAGCGCCCAGGCCCAGAGTTCAGGACCCACTACTGGACCCAAAAAAAAAAAAGAAACTTAAAAACAAACAAAAACCTTTCCCTATAGAGGTAGAGGTAAGCAATCAGGAAGACCTTTATTAATATTTCAAAAATAGGCCAAAAAGAAAAATATGAAAAAGTATGCTTTTAAAAGTACAGTGAGGAGCTGGGAATGTGGCTTAGTGGTAAAGTGCTTGCCTAGCATGTATGAGGCCCTGGGTTTGATTCCTCAGTAGCACATAAAACAAAAATTTAAAAAGCCTTGATATCAACCAATCTATTAATTTTGTATCATTTGATATATATATATATATATATAATTCTTTTTTACTCATAAAAACATTCTGTAAAAAATGAGATTTAACATTAATGATTTTATCAATGTAAATGTGAGTCATAAAATAACTGTAATATATGAAAATTTAAAAAGTCTCATGAATTAGTAATGAAAAAAGCTATTTACATTTGAGGATAGCTTAACTACTAATTTTCAAAAAGGTGTCCAACAAACTTAAATAAAGAAAAGTATTTATAGGAAGTGGAGGTATGGCTCAAGTGGTAGAGCACCAGCCTTCAGCCTTCAGAAAAAGCCAAGGTGGAGTACAGGCCATCAGTCCATGCTACATTATATTACCAGCACACAGACACTCATGCACACCCATGATTAACTTATCAAAATATAAACATCCCAAGTGGCTGTTGTGGCTTATAGTCCTCACTACTCAGAGGAAGCTGAGTCTAGAGGATTGCAGTTTGAAGACAGTCTAGGCAAAAAAGTCCAAAACAGTCTGGCTTTTTGACAGGCTGGAAGTGTGGCTCAAATGGTAGAGTGCCAGCCAAGCAAGCATGCAACCTGTGTCAGAGCATGAGGCTCCCAATAAAAGCCCAAATGCAAATACCCCTAAATACAATTAATACATATGGTACAAGGGAAAGAAAAAACATCTGGAATGTAGAATAAAATCAACACAATATTCTTCAACTCAAAAGTTAACTTTTTTTTTTAGTCCGGTCGTGGGGCCTGAACTCTGGGCCTGGGCGCTGTCCCTCAGCTCTTCAGCTCAAGGCTATCGCTCTACCACTTGAGCCACAGCGCCACTTCCGGCTCTTTTCTTTTTTGCTTATGTGGTGCTGAGGAATCGAACCCAGGGCCTCATGCATGCAAGGCAAGCGCTCTATCACTGAGCCACCTTCCCAGCCCTCAAAAGTTAACTTTTAAGTCTAACTCCAACCCAGATCTCTTTCTAAGCCCCAATCATCATAATACACTGTCTGCAGAACAAGTCTTAAAGAGAACTCAGGGCTAGAAATGTGGCTTAGTGGTAGAGTGCTTGCCTTGCATGAAGCTGGGTTCAATTCCTCAGTACCACATAAACAGAAAAAGCTGGAAGTGGTGCTGTGGCTCAAGTGGTAGAGTGCTAGCCTTGAGCAAAAGAAGCTCAGGGATGGTGTCCAGACCCTGAGTTCAAGTCCCAGGACTGGCAAAAAAGAAAAAAAGAGCTCTAATCTATCTAGATTATTTCTCTGAAATCTGCTCATCTTGCATCTTTTACTTAAGAGATCAGCATTTGGGTACTGTCTATACTTTCTGTATCCCCATTTTCACCTAGCAGATGGGAATAACACTATTATCTACCACAAGGGAATGTCATGACGACAAACTTGAATTAAATTACAGCAAATTCAGAGAGCTAGGCTTGCTATATACGAAGTCCTATGTAAAAGAGAAGTATTTGTTATCCAAAAATAAATCATCAAAGCTAGACATCTGAGATTCAATATAGAGCAATAATTACACTGTCCTTTTTTCTATCACTTCTTTAACAAAGTCTTACAAGCTAGAGATTCCCACTTTCTTTTTCTTCTTCTTTATTTTTGGTCGGCACAGCACTATTTCCAAGATTCCCACTTTCTAAGTCTACTTATGTGTAAAAATGTAACATGATGAAATAAATGAAAAACTGCTACATACGATTGAGCTCCAAAAAGCAGTTTTTTACAGCAAAGACATATTTAATTACTCCTATTATTGCTTAAATACCATTTTCCTAAAAGTTTAATCCTTAGTTTCCTTTCACTTCCATTGGATGACTTTTCAAAATGATAAAAATTACATTTCAAAAAACATACCTTTTCTCAGCTCGGACTTTCTTCCCACAGTGAGAACAAGTATACATGTTGTCACCTTCTAAAGTGTCTTTAATAGTAACTTCATCAAGAGATTCCTATGTATTAAAATGGCATTGAAAAGATCACATTACTTATGACATCTTAATAACAAAAAGTAATTTGGTTTCAAAAGCACAGAGAAAACTATTTTTTTAAAAATGTGAAATCTAAATTTTAGCAAAATATTGTTTTCTACTTATGTGCATTTTAATAAAAAATTCAAATATTTTTACCTTGGTGGAGTCAATAACAGAGTTTGAACTCAGGGCCTTAAATATATGAAACAAATATTCTACCACCTCAGTTAACCCTACCCAGCTCCAGCATTTTTTGGTGTTTATTACTTTTCAGGTAAGGTCTCATGTTTATGTGTGGAATGGTCTTGGACCAGAATCATTCTGCCTATGGCATCCAATAGAGCTGGGATGACAAGCACCTATCACCATGCTATACTATTTGTTGAGATGTCAAACTGGCATCATCCTGAACCCTACACCTCCTGAGTCAAGAAAACACAGCAGCTAAATATTTACATTTTGATTGGGGAAAATCTGGTTTGGGGAGGGGAGCAATCTTTTTTATTTCAATAGCAGAACAAGAAGAAAACACATAAAACAATTAATTACCTTCAATCACACTATATATAAATAGCTTTAATCACCGGTGGCTCGTACCTATAATCCTAGCTACTCAGGAGACTGAGATCTGAGGATCCAGGTTCAAAGTCAGTCTGGGCAGAAAAGTCCCCATGAGACTCTTATCTCCAATTAATTACACAAAAAACCCCAGAAGTATCACTGTGGCTCAAAGTGGTAGAACAGAGCCTTCAGCAAAGAAAGTGCAGGACAGAGCCCAGACCCTGAGTTCAAGGCCATAACCAACAACAAAACAAAACAAAACACCTAAAACATGTACAGCTAGGCACCAAAGGCTTCATGACTACTCAGGAGGCTGAGATCTGAGGATTGTGGTTTGAAGTTAGCCCAGCAAAGTCTGTGAGAGTCCTATCTTCAATAAACCACTAGAAAACTGGAAGTGGAGCTGTGCGTCAAGTTGTAAGAGTACTAACCTTGGGGGAAAAAGCAGCTCAGAGGTAGCACCCAGGCTCTTGAGTTCAAGCCCCAGGTTGGAGACAGACAGACAGACACACAGACACAGCGCCATCCCCTCCTCCCCCCAGTACTGTATTACTCACATAAATGTTTTTCATATCGGCCACCTGGCACCTCACAGTATAAAACTCTTCAGCAGTTTGACTAACATGTTCACAATCCTGATGAATCAATAAGCAAATATTAGTATTTACTGTAATAAAACATATTAAGACCTCCCAGAAGAAAAAAAAAAACAAATATAATACTTACTAAGGACACAACATTGTTGGTAATTACACCTCCAAATAAACTCTTCACGGTATTTTTCTTTAATGTAAAACAAACAAAAGTCAGTAAATGGAGACAAACTTGTACAAATATCAAAGAAGCTTTCCAACATTCAGATACTAACCAGTTCTGGAGACATTTCTTCAATTTTAGTGATCAGATCAGTAAAAAATTCTGTCATATCCTTCTGCTCTCCAGTATTCAGAGGCTGTTTATCCATTGTGTATGTTTTACAAAACGGCCGAGGATTATATGCTTTGCATTCACTCTCCTATAATGAAAAAAGGGGATTCTATGAAATAAATATTTTTTAAAAAAACAACCAAACAGTGAAAACAGCTGAGTGCCACAGGCTCATAACTGTTATCCTAGCTACTCAGGAAGATCACAGTTTGAGGCCAGCCCAGACAGAAAAGACCAAGAGATTTCATTTATAAGAAAAAATAACCAGCAGAAAAAACTGGAGATGTCACTCAAAAGGTGTCAGCTGAGCAAGTATGAGAACCCTGAGTTCAAACTCCAGTATTAACAAGAACGAAAAATAAGGCCAGGTACTCATGGCTCACACCTGTAACCCTAGAGACCCAGGAGGCTGAGATCTGAGGATCCCAGTTAAAAACCAGGCAAGGCAAGAAAGTCCATGAGTTGTTTTTTTTTTTTTTTTTTAAATCTCCAATTAACTACCAGAAAACTAGAAGTGGAGGTGTGGCTCTAAATGGAGAGGCTTAGCCTTGAGCACTCAGTGACAATGCCCAGGCCTTGAATTGAAGCCTTACATCCCCCACCCCCCCACAAATGGGAAGGAGGAAAAGCAAGGTCTTAAGTAAACAAACAAAACAAACTCTCATGTGTTAGTAGTAAATCTACAAAGGAAGTTCCCCTCCCCCTCTAGTCATTTTGAGATGGGGCTCAGTACATAGCCTACATGGCCTCAAACTCAATCCTTTTGCCTCAGCATCCTGAACTCTGGGATAACAGGCTTGTATACCACACTAAGCTGAGCAAATAAGGGGAAGAGGGTGACCAGCAGCCTACTCACTTTGAATTCAAGACTTCCCACTTGCTAAGTGGGCATTCAATCAACTGCTTGAGACACATCTCCACCCATTTTGCTCTGCTTATTTTATAGATTAGGTTTTGCTTTTGCTTGAACCAGCTAAGACAGTAATCTATTAATGCTTCCCATAGAAGCTGCAATGATAGGTGCATGCTACTATTCTTATGTTTATCTGGTGAGATGGGACCTCTCAAACTATTTCTCAGTTGGGGCTGGGAAGGTGGCTCAGTGATAAGAGCACATGCCTTGCATGCATGAGGCCCTGGGTTCGATTCCTCAGCACCACATAAGCAAAAAGAAAAAAGCCGGAGGTGGCGCTGTGGCT